AAAAAAAAGTGAGACAAAGAAAGGAACAGGAGATGAGTCATTTCAACAGAGGATTTGAAAACAAAAATTGTTTGTTCAACTGCAATCTGCAATAAAAGAGTCGCACAATAAAAGACACGTCTGAAATTACCTGTAAAATCAGAGTGCCAATAGTCACCTGACCATGAAGCGCATTAGTACTGTTCTTCTCCATCAAAAACTTGTATACCTTCAGAAAGTCATAGTGAATACGGGTAAACTTTCTGGAAATCGTAAGGCAGCAAATCATCGGCCAAGTGAAAAATGTTGAGAGCTTACCACTGCTGTAGAGGACATTGAGAGGAAGGCACCAACAAATACACCCTCAGAAGATCTACCACCACATAACTGCAAATCCGGAAGTAAAAATTACAGAAATGGCTTCTAATTGTAACTAAGCCCATTGGATGGCAATCTATTTCTTACTGCATAAGCCAGAGTGCGAATAGGAAAGAGAAAAGCATGTGGCATACAAACTGAAACTGAAATATAAAACCTTAGTTAAGTATATATGATTTAGCTGTCAAAATTTCTGTAATATTAACTATCTACTTATACCTTATATTCCAACTTTTATTTTCTGCAGTAGCATGTATTATCAACATATTGTCCAGTTAAGCAAATGAACCGTGGGATTATAATTTCAAAAGAGAATTCATCTTGCATAAGCTTCCCATGAAATGACAAACTCACAGCCTGCTATATCACCCCTTATGTTACAAATTAAAACTTCAGCTTTATGATTACAGTACATAAAACAAGGACTGTATAATTCAAAGTATAACCTAACAGCCTTTGATGGAGCTAAGAAGGAATATAATTAGTAACCAAGTAACTAGAGAAATAAGTGATTGATAGGTTGATCTGGAGGGAGATATTGATTAGCAAGATCAAGGGAAATATTTGACTGGGAAATATTGGAAGGATAGAAATAAGAATGCATTGATATAAATAAGATTTGGATGCACAATGACCAGAAAAGAAAAATCTTTTGTATTACGCCTTTTTGGCATGGGCAGACAAGTATCTGATAGGAATTCTTCCCGGGTTCTTTGCGACTTTTATCATCTCAGATTACTATTCAATCAAATTCAGTTTCAAACTTATTAACTATTTTGGTGTACTCTTCCTTCTGTCAGAAAGGGCCAAATTAAGGAGCTTGTATACTACTATACTCCTCCCATTCCCAACCTACCTCGTATGCTATACTATACTCCTCCCATGCCCAACCTAAGCATAGTTTTATGAAGTTTTTTTACTCTATCAAAAATACACGAGGACTCGTTTTAGAGTAAAATTGAGAGGAAGCCCTACAAGCTGGCTGCCATAATTTTGTTCCAGCTCAACTAAGTATTGTTACAAAGTACACAACACTACAACAGTTTTAGACAACGTCAATTTGTACCACAACCTCATTGACCAGTTTAATCAGAGTCAAAAGCGTCATTCTAACTGCTAATCTGCTATTAAGAGCCACTTTTGCAAGATAGGTCATTCGGAACTAAATAAGAATCATAGGGTTCGAACAACAAGCAACTTCATCAGTGTTTGTATTGCAAAACTTATATACACTCATAGGTTAATTTGGATGGTCTGTATCATGGCCATAGTTGACATGTTATCAACTTCATGAGCCTGCTACAGCTGAGGCAAGCTTTTCAAGATTTTGCATGTAACTTGAAAATATATACACATTCAATGAACATACCGAAGCTATAATTCCACACAAACACATAAAAAGGAGAATTTGGAGTAACCCTCCAAGAACAGCAACTGCACGAACAACTCTAAGCTGTAATATAAGAGACATCAGAAATAAGCATCTGGTTTCATATACAAGGGAAAAAGAAGAGTAATTCGCACTACAGAGCAACATATAAAACCAGCTAACCTTTGTTGTGGAGAATTCCAGGCCCAGCGCAAAGAGCAGGAAAATCACTCCGAACTGAGCTACTGTTTCAACCTACATGCATCGGTTACACTAGGATCACGAGAAATTTTACTTTTGCCAAAATCAATTTAACTGGTCATTTTATATTCATATGTCAGAAACTGGAAAGACAATATTTATTTAACATTTCTATTGCTACGTACTTGCACCATTTCACTGATAACATTAAAACCTCCAGGTCCTACAACTGATCCTGCTAGTAAGTATCCGGTAATAACCTGCACAGTATTTTATCAATTAGAAAATAAGGTGTTTTTAAAAAAAACACAGAGCACAGACCAAGGTTAGAAATCAAACCGGTTGTCCAGCACAAGCAAACGCAATACCACCACATGTTGCAGAGACAATAACAACAACCAGATCCGATATGAGCCTGCAAAATCACCATGTACGGTAATCCAGAACCAAAAGGAAATGAGACAAAATATCATAATAAACCACAAGCATACCTCAAGTCTAACTGCAGCACTGGGTATTTGGATTTGAAATTTGATATAATAAACACATTATCCTGCACATACATAAACATTTCTACTTGAAACAATGATACACTATATCCCAATAACCTGAGTGCTCACTGTCCTTTCCCTAGTTCAATTTTTTTCTTCTGAAAGATAACAATGTAAGGGAGCAAAGAAAACAAGAAAATTATTTCAAAATGTAACCCAAACAACAACTGTTACCTTTCTATCAATTAATGTCGGAATCTCTTCGGCCCCATTGTCATTGTCCAGATTGAAGACTTGATGAAGTTTAAAGGACCTATAGTTACGGTTAGAACAAGATAACATGTGAATAGAAAGGAAACAAAACACATTAGCGAGTGTACCAGTGATAGTACAAATACTTACTTTTCCTCCTTTGTCTCATTTTTCTTAGACTTCATTCTAGCTACAGTTTCCAAGACAGCCTGATCATGAAAAACAGAGTAAGCTAAGAATATAGCAGAAATTTGGTATCACACAACAGCAAATAATCATTGCCTTTTTTTCTGGGCACATTATCCCATAATTTACTTTCACGACACAAACACAAGAAGATTGAATCCTCGAGTGCATTACCTCCCTCACAAACATGTTATACATTCCATAATAAAATTGCACAAGTAGAACTACTTAACTACTAGCAAAAAGCAATGTCACAAACCTGCTGCTCAGCAACACTATTGTTGAAGCTCCCAGCATCATTTGCTGCCATTTCAAATGAAAGGTTCAATTTTAGACATGATCAACGGAGAATACATCTTCAATATATGAGTTTGTTCGTCAGAATTAAAGCAACAAATCAAATTGTTTCCATGTGCAACCATAACAATAACACATGATGCCTACAGATGCCAAACAATTCTGAATGGAAAAGCCAGAATGAAACTTTGAACAAGAAGTCATGTTAGATCCATAGATTGCCAAGAAAAACAATAATCATTCATCAAAGCCCAGCATTCGCATCTCACGCCAATTAAAGCCATGCTCAAAGAATACTTCTTCCCCAAATATAAATGATAATGTATTAAAAAATACCAAATCAGTTCCAGAAGAGCTCAAAGGAAAGTTTCCCCAGATAAAAACCCCCACACAAAACCTTAATCACAAAAGTTGTAAGAAAACTAGTATACATGTCGTCAAAAAATAAATCTGGACAAACAGCACGTCCCTAAAGCCTCAGCGCAACCAAATAAACCCCAAAGCGAACCCTAATCAATCACTGATTCACATAAAACATGAGCAAGAATTCGATAAACAACAGAAGAAGCGAGATCCGAAAAAACCTTGGTTCTGATCCTCATTCTCCGTGAACTCCTTCTCAAGAGCGCGATCGATCATATCAGCGAAGGTATCCTCCTTGTGGGTGGTGTTATTCCCACTGGACTCGATGCCGGTTGCATTGGCGGCTCTGTCTTCGGGCAGCTTCGAATCTTCCAAAGCAGCCGTGGCGGCAAGAGCCACAAAGAGCAATAGAAGGGCGGCCAATAATGTACTCATTTGGCAACAGCGCGCCGGCGGCGCACGATATGCAGAGCCCCGGCGCACGCCAAGGATACAGGCCGGAAAGTGTCGGTTTTGTCGCTGCCCGTGGCGTACCGCAGGTGTAGTGTAGAGATGATGGTACTAATTCACACAGTGAGAGAGAGAGAGATAGAGAGAGAGAGAGAGAGAGAGAGAGAGTGGTGGAGACTGTAGAAGAATAATTGTAAAATCTGATGGATTTTCAAAGAATTTAATTAAAGACAAGTTAATTAATTAATTAATTAATTAATTAATTAAGAGAATAATTTATTTTAATTATTTTTGTAAATAAATATATATTTTCTCCTTTTATATATTAATTCAAAACGTGTTGAGTTTAAGTGGCAAATTCTCACGTTTCAGATACTGACATGACAAAAATTTATGATTCGTGATGTTACTTTTATATTATTTTTACTCTAAATTTAAGTTTGGTATTAGACATAAATAACTTTACACATATATTCATTAACTCAATATTTATACTCAAAACATGTTAGTTCAATTTCCATATTTTGCACTCATTTTTGTCCAGGCGGCGCTCGGACAATTGGATGCCACCTAGGCGGTCTAGGTGTCTAAAAGTTTGTATATTTTTTTATTTTATTTTTATAAAATGAAAGTAGATCTTGAGTTTTATAGTATATGAAACGTACATTATTAATTAGTAAAAAAACAATAATTATGTAAAATTAATTAACAAATATAAGTATGTAATATTTTAAAAAAAATGTATTTAGGCTATGTTCGGTAAAATTAGCTGATAAACTAGTTTATAGTTTATCGATAATTTTTTAAATTATAGCTCAACTTATGACTTATGCTGAAAAAATAGCTTATATGATAAAAATATTTGGTAGAATTAGTTGATAAGCTGGTGTTTGTAATATTTTTGTTGTATTTTTCGTTATATTTGTGTTCTTCTTTTCCTTTTATTTTTTCTCGTTCTAGGTCATTTTGTGAGTTTTTAGTTCGTTTTGTGTTTTATTAT